CTTGCAGGAAGTGGCAGTTTGAGCCTGGCAAATCGCAGTTCTTGGATCAAACGCATACCCCCTCCGCCGCTTGTTGGGCTGAGACCAACTGCTCATTGAGCAGTTGGAGGCAAGCGAAATCCAGCGCGTCTGTTGGCAATCAATCACCCCGCTTCACCGGAGCAAGAATCCGACTTTGAAGCCTAGCCGATTTACGTGGAAAGGCTGTGTTGCTGATGACAAGATAACCGGGTGGAGTGTGATGAAGGAGCTGATCGTAGAGCGGCTCTGCGATGGTCGAATTGTGCCACAATCCAGGAGCATTCAATATAGCAGGCATGATTGTTCCGTCAGGGGCAAAAGCAAGGATACAGCTGCAATAATGGGAGCATGTCCACCCATTATAGTAAGCATTTTGGACGCTGTAGATAGATCAGTCAGCTGTACACACAGAATCTTGAGTCACAAAGTCGGAGTAACCTACTCTTCATCATCCGAAACTAAGACTGGCAAGTTTAATCCGTTGAGGAATCCAAAGCAATTGGTGAGCAATGGGAATTTTTTTTGAAATTGGTCGACCATACTCCCTAGCCCTTCGTTCAGTCGTTGGCCACAAAAATTGAGCTTTTGGGTGGACATTGAGGACATCAAGTAGGTGGTCCATTCCAGAGGCGAGGTATCTAGAACAGATGGCGGGCGTTACTCCGAACAGTTGTTGTAAAGAATATGAGGACATCGTCAAGCATAGCCAATGCAGGACCAAACCCAGGGTACCTGCGGCATCCAGCGACCGGCGGCCAATTTGAGGCTCTCCATTTGGGTTCACATCGGCCCGGTCGATTGTATTGAAATTCCAACTGGACGAGAACCGATTGAGTAGGTCGTCAAAAGTCCTCACATTGATCCCCATCGTCGTGATGAAAGCCAATCACTTCGAGACCTCCACAAGTAAGCCCAGGCACTGTGAGCCATGGGAATCAAAGGTAGATTGGCTTGGGTTAAATACGTGCGCAACTTTTGGAACTGGCCAGGAGTCCCAAGGTAAGCCATGGCCATGCACAACACAACCGCATCCTTGAGTTGTTCGTTTTGGTTAGCATAGTCCTGGGCAAAAAGAGTCTTGAGAGTTTGTTGCATGGCTTCTTGCTCTGACTGGTGACGCTGTCAAATGATTGAAAGTTGAAGTTGCTCCTCCAATAAGACTAGCTGGGAGTGGATCATTTTTTCAAAGCTAGACATTGTTGATATCAGCACTTCACGACAGGATGGGGCAAATAGATATTGACAGAGGTGAGACTTACTAAGTATATATTGCAATCGTTGGATGGATGATGAGGTCGGATTGGTGGGGTGTGGCAGATGTGATTGGTGGGGTGTGGCAGATGTGGCGATAGGATATCAGTTTGACGACGTTGATGATAAGAAGACTGTTGGAGGTTTACAAAGCGGAGGTGTAAATTTACTAAGTGAGCACAAAGGAAGCGCATATTAAGAATTTTAGAGTTCAGCTTTGTAAAAAAAATCTGTGAGGCCCGCAGATTTGACGGGAAGTCCTCCATTAGCTCTCTGAGTTGAGATATCAGACCGGGCTGGTAGATTAACATTTTTAAAACAGTGGGGGTCTTGTCTGTAGTATGGGTATAGATTGCCAGGGCCAAGAGTTGTATGACAGCTGCTTTTGAATGGAGTAAACCCTTCCTTGAAAGAATGGATTAGGAGATACAGTTGCCCTGTTTTTACCTGATTTTTTTTCGGGTGTGATGGTGGTAGTGGCAGTGCTGGGACTAGCAGGACCGTTGTAGTGTGCCAAATGTGTTTCAAGTACCAAATTGCATAAAGTCATGATACACTCTTGATAATAGACTATATTATTGATTTTTTTTATTGCATATTTGAATTCTACATTAAATTTAACCTATAGTCAATCACTGGAACCACTAGGTTAGCTCAACTCAGTCAGAAGTTATTTAGATTTTAAGGTTATGATAGAACATGATTACAAAGCATAGTCGTACATTGGTAGTGCATAGTATATATTTAGAGCTAGGTAAATGGTTAGGGCTAGAACCAAAATCTAGCCATTTTTGAAATTATCAGTTAGGGCTAGAACCACAAGCCAGCCTGTATGTAAATAGACTATATAAGCAGGCCTTTTTGCCCCCCTCAGTTCAAGTTCCTCATGCAATCCCATCATCAACATATATCTCACTTGGAGATTTCAACCCATTCATAGGGGTGATCTCAAACAAGTATTTTATCATCACACAGCCTGGCCAGCTGTTGATCATCATCATCAACAACCCCCCCTTCTTCTGTTGAGTTGTCAATGCGACAACACAAGGAAAACCCCTCGCGCTTAGTCTCTGCGGTCCACAAACTGCGGCAAAGTCCTAATCAGCCGCTTAGGGTTATAAAATGCTCCTTAAGAGCTCTGACCTTCCACTCGCTTCTTGCTCCTTAACCGATCTAGAAAACACATCCTAGAATAACAACCTCGGTTCACTCCAGCGTAAAGCCATCTCCTCAACTTCTCTGACCTCAAGTCACCTCAAAAAAAATCGTCTCTAGGATCGACGCTTGTAAAGTAAAGTCTCTCGACGAACTTCAACTGACCGTACCGTATCCTAACTCTTTCCCCGCATCATCCTCTCTGCAGTCTAAGCCTCCCAATCCAGTTTCCTATCCTTTTCTGTGTCGAACTCGAACACATATTCTTCTATTGTTTGTTTCTATTCTTTTCTTCTTATTGTGTTTCTCACTCTTGTTTTCTTCTGTGTTTGTCGTCAAAAGAACTAATTTTTTTTCGTTTCTTCTTTTTTTTCCTTCTCTCTCTTTTCTTTTAGATCTTGAACTTCTTGCCTTCTTTTATCCTTCCTTGGAATAGTCCTCACTCATTCTTTTCATCCGGTATTATCGTATGCCTCTCTTCTTTGATTCTTTCTTTCTTCATCTCCTAGTGTTCTGGTCTCATCTGATTGTTCCTTCTTTTCTCTTAAAAGTTCTGGTTGTAGTTTATCAGCAATCAATCAAATTTCTTTATCTTCAACACCTGTGATCTTAATCAGGTTCTTAGATAGCTTGTCTCATAGCATTTCATATATATCAATTGATCTAGGTCTGATAGAGACTACTACATAAAGGTTTCTCTATAAAGGTTTTGGCACATCAATATATAAATTTTTGTTTTCAGAATTCTTGTGTAGTACAATAGAGGGGCAGGTCTTTCAAACCACCCGTAACAATATATATCAAACAAGCACAATATCATATTTGTTATTTCCCCCTCACAGGACTGCCACCATTCCCAAAGGAGTTCTCACACTGTCTTGGTACCTGGTACCTAAATAAACAGAGACAAAAATGATTAGAAACTGATGAATGCGGTGAAAGGTTGATTGACTAACCGGACTGAAAGTCTTGGCAGCAGGAATAAAAGCAGCGGGTTTGATAGCTGCTTTAGGATCTTTGGAATTATTCAGAGTCCCTTTTGGTTTGGAAGGAGGAATAGGAGAAAGATTTTTGAGCCAACTGGCCAGCTTACTCTGCTGGGTGACGGGCTTGCTCTTGTTTTTTTCACGGTCAAGGACGTGGACAAAGGGTTATTTTCAGCTTTGTTCCGAGGCTTGGAGGAAGGCATTGGGGCTAGAGGACCCAGTTTTGTGAGGCCAATGGTGATCAAAGAATTGGTTGTTGGATTGGCAATGGTATTGGCCATTGCAACCGTTGAAAACTGTGAATTCAATCTTCAAACAAAATGACCAATGAATGTGGTGTGAAATTCTTGAAAGGTACTGAAAGTTCTGAGCTCTTTGCAGCACAGTTTGTGGCTATTTTGAGCCATGCCTGCAATAGTAAAATCTCGTTAGGTTGTTGGTCCTTGTTTGGATTTTCTAGTGTATTGAGAAAACCTGGGGTATGAAGGGCTGGATAGAAAGTATTGGAGACTTTGTCAGATAAAAGTAGGTAAGATGAAGTGACCAAAAGCTTGTGGTCCAAGGTGACATGATCAATCCAATTGGGAACGTCTTCATCATCAGGCCTTGTTTGATTTCAGACAAGGTTTGACAGTCGCTTTAAAATTAATCAACTGGATTGTGATTTCACAAATATCATTCTTGGGAGGGATGATTTGCTGCGGGTCCAGGAACTTTGAGAAGATGGCCCTGGTGGGCTTCAATCAACAGTTAGTGAA